AAGCGATTATCGATTAACGATGCTATTGCGAGTGTCGCTTAGTCGCTCAATTAGCGACTGTGAATACTTTTTAATCGCTCATCCTTCTATTGCTGTTTTTCAGTCGTTGGAGTTTGCGTTTATAAAATTTACGTAAGAAAGTGGTACTATAATGCATAAAAAGTAAGTCAATTGAACTAGAAGTTGTAAAAAATTTTGAAATATACATATGTATGTATGTGTCTGAATTACAGGTCAAAAATTGTAAGCAACAAAAGGCAAGTTGCGCGGTTGGTTGTTTTGATGCAGGAGAGTGAGGACATATGCAAAGGAATTTCCGGAAAGAGTAGGGGAGGAAGCTCCGCTTCTATTGTGAAAGATATACAATACTTCTTGTGCATATAACTCCGGCTACGCCATCCACAGTGTTTTTGCGCAGAATCAACAGCAAAGTTAAAAAAACTGCATAATTTTTAATTAACTAGTGCTCGGAAATTTGAAATCATTATTTTAAATCAAAGTTTGATTCTTTCACTACACGTGTATGTTAAAGTTAATAGTCGTTTATCTACTGCCAGTCGACATTCGCAATAGGGGTGTCGTTGTGATATTAATTGGCAATATAAGTACATACATATTTAATGGTCTCGCCTCATATAGTTAAAGATCTGCACTATAATTGTTTGAACGCCGAACTTTTAACAGTTAAATGACATGGGTAAACGAATTTTACTACCTGGTATAAGTTTATAGCCCAGAGATTCAAAACTTCCTGTTGTATTGAAAGGTCTGCAATTCAAAATTTATGTAGCGTTCGCAATAACAATAAATGATTTTCAAAATCAGCAAGAGTCGGTGTTTTCCTAAAAGAGGATTGCTTTACGTAGAGGCAGACCATGAGTAGAGTTCGATCTTGCGACGATATTGAAGTTAAAATTAACGTCCAAAACAAATTACTACAAATATAGTTTCTTATGAAGTGCCTACATAATAATTTAATAGATTGGCGCTTATACGCAATGTGTTAGTGTTTGGGCCGAGCTTCTCTCTCCGAAATTTTTAATTGTACAAATCTTGTAAGAACGTCCCAGATAATGTCACCAAATATGTATGTAAGTGTAGTTAAAACGCACTCTGTTTATTCTGCCTGTGAGATGAGAGTATCTGGAATGTGTAAAGAATTGCAGCAGCCTTTTTAATATATTCACAAGCAGCAAACACTTAAATTGCACCACGGAAGAACATGTCTACCCGCTTCCGCTTCCGGTAAAAAACTTCCTTTTGGACTACCCCCAAATGTTCCAAATAATTTCCCTTATTTGTTTGCTCAAATTACCCAAGCGAAGTCTGGCAACTCTACACACTTTGACACTCACAGTTGCCATTTAAAATTTTTCTCATTTTGGTAGATTTTTGTTGAACTTTTCGTTCCCGCTTTATTTTTCGTTTTGATTGTCTAAATATTTTAAATGATTATTTAAATAAAAAGAAAAAATTGACTGGTATGTATGTAAATATGCACTATCATTGTTCGCAAGAAAAAAATTAAATCAACGGCATTTTTTATCAATGAAAATTGTTAAATAAAAAAAAAACACAAAAGACAGGGACGCAAAAGTTTACAAAATCAACGGAAATTTTAAGCAGCTCATTGGCTATAAATATTATGCTGTGAAAATTCAGAATAAATATTCGAAATTTAGACGATAATTTTTGGAATTTTTCTAAATGTATATAGCTGGAATCCTTTTTATGGATTTAGTTAAAGCAACAAAACATTTTTACTTGAAAAACATATTAAAAACATGAATATTTTTTTGAGTCCTTGTCTATGCCGTTGTTGCCTTTAGTTTCCATCAGTTTCGCTTTTTGTTGAAGGAAACTGAGAATATGCCATTAATATGATCGCAAATACCGTATAATTAGTTAAATAAAAAGTTCCTTTAAACAAATTTTATTCTTATTGAAATAACTAAAAAAATAAAAATCTATAGTTTTAATTAAAATGACTAAAAAAATAAAACTAGTTTTTACTAAAATAAATATCAAAAAGTAATTTTTTCGGACAGTGGCAACCCTGGATACTCATTTGAATGAACTGTCATTTCATTTAGAAACTTGCATAAACTGTTTATCGCCCTGTACTTCCTGTAGTATATTCCAATGATTTCCGGTATTGCCTTCCAATGATTTCCGGTAGTGCATTCCAAAAAAAAATTCCAGCAAGTTTGACATTCCTTTTTCAACTGACATCCTGATTTTCAGTCTGACGTTTCGCGATTATTTTCCTTGTCACAGTTTTTGCTTTTGTCTCGGGGACGTTGATTTTTTTATGTCTAGCTTGAAAAGGCAATTAAAGGTAGAAACGGGCCGAATAAATTGTTAATTTTTATTCAACTAATGTGAAAAAGAGAATGCTTTATCTGTGCCTGTGGGACTGAAGTTGAAAATCTTTACAAAAGTGCGGAAATCGAGAGTGACGTAGTGCAGAAAAAGTAACGAAAAGATACCAAGTAATAACTGGAAGCCAATGTTGTTTTAGAGACTAAATATCAAGAAATTTAGTGTAAAATTGTTTAAAATAAGTTAACATAATGATTTTCGCATAAGGGAGCAAGCGGAAATTCTTGGAGGCAACAGGGCGGCCAGTGCAAGGCGCAGCCAGTATGAGTTCCCGTATAAAGTGAGTGTCGCGGCCGTACGTCACTTGTTTAAAAATATGTACATAC